TCTTTACTTGCCCCCTACTGGCCCATCCCCAATGCCTCACCTCACCCCGCCTACCCCCAACAACCCCACCTATTGTGGGGCAGGGGCAGGAGTGGTGGGGGTGGGGTTGGGGCAGGATGATAGCTGTGATGACGACATTAGTGACATGATGGTTGGTAGGGCGTGGGTGGGGCGATATGTGGGATGGTCCAAACAAAGACGATTGTTCCAATTCTATTGAGAGATTTCATTCCAATTCCTACCAACCAAATGCATGGTCAAATTCCATCAAATTCCATTCCAATTCCTTCAAAGTCAAATTCCTTTGATGGATTCCAATTCCATCAAATTACATTATGTGAACCAAACACCCTAAGTCCTAAGACTAAGGGAGTGTTTGAGATTGCTTATAAAAACAACTTATTAACTTATTCCGGTGTGACACCGGTAATAAGCACTTTTAAGTGTTTGGATAAACAATTTATACCGGTGCCAAACCGGTAATAAGGAGTTTTTAAAGAAGTTAAACTCTTCTGCCTTATAATAAGTTGATAAGTGTTTTTGCAGAAAATCATAAATTGTTTCAAACAAGCGATCCCAACCCAAATCCGCTCAACTTGTCAAGAGCAGAAAACCACTGTTCTTGTATTAGGACCCAACCCAAATCCACTTTTCACGATCCTAAATCTCGACTAAAACGGCCCCAATTTAGGGCATTCATTTTGGGCTAAAAAATTGGAGCCTTGCAGGCCCATTGTTCATTAGTAGCGTAATAGAACAAATCCCGGCGAGTTGCTCCGGCCACCCCTTCATTCTCCGACCATACCTCTATCACACACATAGACATGGCTCCGAAGAAGAAGCAGCAACAGCAGAAGCAGAAACAGAAGTCAGCTTCTTCATCTTCTTCGACCAAAAGTAAACCTCAAACTTCTACCGGTCCCAAACTCCAGATATCGGCGGAGAACGAGAATCGGCTCCGACGGCTTTTACTTAACTCTAATCGTTCGACGGCGGCTCCGGTTCATGAAGATTCTAATCTTACCAAGGCACAAAAGGCAAAGAAACTACATTCCGTTTACGAGAAGCTCTCTTGTGAAGGCTTCACTGATGATCACATCGAACGTGCTCTCTCTCATCTCAAGGTCTTCAAACTAATCTGGATCAATTAGTTGTATCATTGAACTGATTGTATAGGTTCGACAGAAAATATGATATAACTAAATGAATTTTGCCGCAAGTACTAATAGGAATGGGAAATGTTGAATGGGCAACAAATTCCATTTCAATTTTGCCTTTAAAGAACTAGGTCTCATGCCAGGAACAATAATGTAGTTTTTTCTTAAATTAAAAGTAGGCTATAAGTTGTAATTGTCGTTCATCGTTGATTCCACATATTACCATCAAGTGTGTAGTTTGGATGGTTTCCAGCTCGCTGATAATGGTAATGGTACAGTTGCAGATTAATTTCTTTTCCCTTCGTTGGTTCAAAACAAAAAGTTGGTTTGATATGTAATCAGCTTATAATAGAAAAAGACGACAATGTTTAATGTTTTTTTCACTAAACATATGCAAAGCAAAATTAGCTTTGGATGACTGTACTTGACTGTGCTCTCAAGTTACTATCATTAATTCATTACATTTCTAATCATGTCGTTAGGTTCACACTTGCAAAGAGATGAACTCATTCGGCCATTGATACATATATCTTTGTTTGTTAACATTTATGTATTCTGTGAGGCTACCTTGTCCAATCTTTGTCTTTGGCACTGACGCATGCCTCACTCTTTTGTTTGTCGAAGTTTGTTCACAAGGTCATTTCCTAGTCAAAGTGGGGGAACTTTTTGCAAAATAAATTTTCCAAGTAGTTCAAACCTGTGTTGGTAGCTCTACACATATGAAAACACTTCAAATGAAATGCAATCAAATATGTACATATGGCGCCTTAGTTTTTTTGATATTATTGTATACTTTGTTTATGTTGCCATCCATTTTTTTATTTGAGTTTAGGCCTTCTAAGCAAGCACCATTGTTTTTATTTAAAATGTATCCATTTTCATTTGCTGTTCTTAGTTTAGATGCAGTTAAGACATGATATGATTTGTATTTTGTTGTTAAATGAAGCAAATATTATTTGGAAGTATAGCCTGTAGAGTTTCTGATAGTGCAGTCTTTTTATCCGTTTGTTCAATATATCAGAAAACTTTTTATGATTTTTTCCCTGCTTATTTGTTGAAAAGGAAAGTGCTACTTTTGAGGCTGCTTTGGACTGGCTATGCTTGATTTTGCCGCCAAATGATCTGCCATTGAAGTTTCGCAGTAGCAGTGCACTTCTTCCAGATGACGGTATGCGAAAAGGCATTTTACATATACTTTAATATGGCCATGTTACAAATCTTGTTCTACAAGTTAGATTCCTTAGTGAAAGCAACTATTATGTACTCTTCTACTCTATTTGGCATAACAGGTGGCTCTGTCGGCATCATATCAACTGCACGAGATGATTGGACCCCTTTGGCTAACTCATCAGTTGCTATGGAAAATGAAATGCCAGAAATATCAATCAAGAGTAAGGGGCAACGGAAAGTTGATACATTGGATTCTTTTCAGCAGTCTCAAGCAGATTGGATCCGTCAGTATATGGAGCAACAAGAAGAGGTGCTCAATCAGGGTGCTATAGAAAATTGGCCTAATATTTGCATTATCGCTTCTGGTCCATCTGTAGTGCATAAATATTATGCAGTTCAGAAGTCTTCGTCCTCTCTTTTTTATGATCTAGGTTTCATGGACCATTTCTGGCTATCATTTAGTTTACCCTGATGCGTTATGCCCTTCATGAGATTGACACTTTCTATGACTGCACTATCAGTTTGACCTGTCTGATTTTTCCTGATAATTGTTAAAGTTCTTTAAGTGGAACATCATGTACACACTATTTTGTATATATTGGTAATGATGGAATGAAAAGAAGAAGATCACCTTCTTGTAAAATAAAACCTAATAATACTCGATTATTTCCATGCATAACATTATTTTTGTTCACCTATGAGATTAGTGTAATTGTGTGAGCATGTGCAAATATTTCCTTCTGTACATTTTAATGTGTAATGAAAATGCAAACTAATGAACTTGTGTCTTGTTTCATTTTGTAGGATGAATCTGAATCTTGGGAAGATGACGTGATGGACAAGGTACTATTGATGCTATACATTGGTCTGCTAACATGATCTATTATCAGAAATATAAATGATGCTTGGTTCACCTTGGTATGGAAGTTCAGATGTTCTGCTCATTTTGTCAGTGCCATCTCTCATTAACGTAAACCAAGAAGGCCATTAAGTTGCAGTTCGTTATAGCCTTATAGGGGTATTGTCTAGACCACCAAACCCATTAAACAGCTAATCATAATATTCATACTGAAATCCAGGCAATCATGGCACACCATCTTGAAGAATGTATAATCTCATGTTTTACAACCTATTATTTCTCCTTTGCATTTGACAAACCCCAATTTCCACTGGGTTCAAGCAATAGGAGGTCAAGAATTTCAGTTCTGTGTGTGGAAGTCATTAAGATATTGTTGCATTTTCATTGTTATCAACAGGGCAAGTGGGTATGTTCATGTAATTACACCTTTCCTTGTTTAAGCAGCTGGATCTATCTTTTTTTTTATATTGCTTTCTCTTTTTAGGTCTCAGAGCCAAGAAGCTATGATTCTATTCGCGAGGAATATCACAGTGCTCGGTTACAAGCTATAAATGCCAAAGAAAGAGGGGATAAGAAAGGCCAGGAACAATCTGGTCAAATAATTCGTAAACTTAAGCAAGAGATGGCTGCCCTAGGTTAGCTTGAGCTCATAGTTGATGTCTAATAATTTCATTTCTCTTTAAAAATTACATTTTATGAATTTTCTATGCAGGTATATCGGTTGATACCCTGGCTGCAGAGTTTGAGAGTCGCCATCATGTCATTGCGGAATCTCCTTGCCAGTCCTTGCCTTGCAAAAACCTTGATGCTGTCACAAGTGATGAAGATATGAATTCTTCTGTCAAGCAAATGGACTCAAAAGATAATGGAACTGTTATAGAGAGTTCACAAGATGTCTCGACCCTGGGTATCTCTTTAAGTGTTCCCAGCCATGATGGAACTGTTGTGGATGAGGACTCCGAAGATATTGAGCTTGGTGATATGTTCCTAGAAGATTCGTCGTCTGGTCAAGTTTTGCATCCCGAGATTGTGGAGCTGCAAAAGAAGGAGAAGATGAAAGAGTTAACTAGTGAAAAAAATTTGGAGAAGTTAGAGGGAACCTGGAAGAAGGTGATGTGTGCTTTAATTTGGCTTGTTATGGTGAAAAAAGTATTTCAGATGATCTGAACTCCAATTGAGTTATGTGTATTGAGTGTTTATGTTTGCCTTTCCATGCCTTTTCTTTCTAATTATCTGCACCTTCACTTTTTCTTTGATATATAACATTCATGGAACATGGGTATGCCAGCACAGAATAGTTAAAAGGGTGTGGATACTGAAGAACACGAAAGATGTTTCTTCATTTAAATTGTGTAGAAAAATTGAGAACAAATAGTTAACCACTATTCAATATGTAAACATAAGTTATAGCTCATAATCATAACTTTCAAGCAGAAGCTCTTATAACACAGCACGGAACTGCAAAAGTGTCCATGCTTTTTAGAGATATCTGCATGAATAATATATACATTCTATTCTTGTTCATAAGAGATTAAAAGACACCTTTTTCTTATCTATCAGAAATCATTCTTTTCATTAAGTCTTTTATGGACTGCAATTGCAGTTTTCTTTTTAAAATATTGATCTTTCAATCCAGTTTTATGATCTACAAATTGAAGTGTGCTGGTCTAATGGTGGGAAGTGTTTTGGATCTGATGTCAAAGGTGCAGACAATTGCTAGACAGCGTGGCATATGATAATTTATAACTGTTACAGGTTGACTGTGGCAAGCAAAAACTTATCTGACAACATTTTTGTTATGAATACATCTCCTTAAGAGTTGTTATAATAAATCATTTGGGAAAAAATGATTACTGCCAATATATTACTTGAGGAATTTTTGGTAGATGAGAACAACATAAAACACAATCATTACCAGATGGGTGAAATATAAGCAATTTGACAAACTCATGGTACTTAGTTTGTTGAATGTACACCTATGGAAGTATTTAATTTATTATAACTACCTCCATTTTACCTCCATTGGTTCTTACTATTCTATGTCTTTTTCTACTTGGACTTACTTGTTGTCCAGGTGTGGGCTTTATTTATATCTATATTTATTTTTCACATTTCTTACTATCTTACCTACATATATAGGGGGATCCACTAAAGATTCCTAAGGCCATTCTTCACCAACTTTGTCAAAGATCTGGATGGGAGGCCCCAAAATATAATAAGGTGCAAGGCACAGGAGATAGATGTAGTTATACCATCAGTGTGATACGTAAAGCTAGTGGGAGGGGTAAAAGCAGAAAAGGTGGAGGACTGACTACTCTTCAACTACCTACTCCCGGAGAAACGTTTGAAACTGCTGAGGTATATCTCGAAGCATGTCTTCTCTATGTAGCATTTCAAAGTTGCTTGTTTATTGATGAGCAAACTTAATGATATCAATTGCAACGTAGTGTTATTTTTTGTGCAATTTTTTTGTGTTCATTATTCTTGCAGTGGCATGTATTTCCTGTATATTTATAATTTCAACAATGATGATTCTTATTTGATTAACTCATTAGAACACTGTCTATTGGCTTTTATTTGGAATTACTGTTTTAATGAACCTATTGGCTGTTACTGTCAAGGGTCATAATCCCACGGCTTGATGTTCTGTTTTCAATATTTATTTTGGGGGATCCTTTCACACAGCACTATTGTAGAAGTATTAGGAGTTCAGGGTATGTCAATTGGTCCTTCTCTTCATTTTCAAAGGCATCGTCAAAAGGGTAGGTTGTTTTTCATGTTTATGAACAAAATCTTATATTGTTTCTGTTCATATTTGTAATGGACATCAAAACCTTTTCATTCTAAAGATGACTGGAGAATCTAACATTTAACGCTAACAATTTTGTCTTACCTTTCATTGTCATTGCACACATTTTGTCCTTTAAAAAGTTTTGTATCACATCTCATTGAGTTGTGGAGGTTTAGCCAGCCTGGGAATCCGACAAAATCCTGTCATATTGTGCATGATGCAGTCATTAGGTATCTTGGGAAGTCTATGAAGCTTTCACTTTACCATGTTTGCCTCAGAATATGATGGTCTCAAACAGAGTGGCATCATCAGCATATAATATTACTATCTAACCAGTTTGCGTCTTATTGTGAAATTTAGATCTTTGATTACAGAGGACTCCTTATAGACAAGGAAGGTTTTTTGTTCACATTGCTGATATTTTTTTGTTATAGGATGCACAAAACAGAGTTGCTGCATTTGCCTTGTATCAGCTTTTCCCTGACCTGCCTGTTCACTTGATGATGACAGATCCATATGCTAAACTTGTTCTACAATGGTTGGAAGGTGAAGTTTGGAGATTGCACAAACTAGTTTATATATAAGAATGTTAGAATGCTTGAAGAGTTGATGAACAATATTTCTTTTTCCAAATAGTTTCTCCCCGGAAATTACTGGTGGTAGCTATGTTCCTGTTCCAATGTACCATCATTTTAAAAACTTGCAGGGGACCTAACAGGAGATGTGAAAAGCACTGAAGTAGACAGACGGGGTGGTTTTGTGGATTCTCTTCTTAATGCTGATGCATCTGATGCTGTTGTTTCTGTGGATCTCTTGGATACTTCTGCGCAAAATGATTCTCAAATATCTCATGCCCAAGAGGATAAACGTTCAAGAGCTGTTGGTATTGATACGAATTCTGAAAGTATGTTTTTGGTATCTTCAAAATATGTTATATAGGAGAATCTATATTTATGCTTACAGAAACCACCTTACTGTCTTAGTGATAAGAGTGATAGTTTAGTGTACAATATCTTTTGACAAAGTTGCAGATGAGATCTGGGTGCATAAAACATGGAGAATTGACAATTTTCCATGAGAAACTTTAATTTGCTCGTGACTTGAATCTGCTAGTAGGATGGTTAGAATTGCTCACTCTAGCATATGATAGTTTTTGTTCTTTCTTTTTCTTTGTTGGCATTTTAGCATGTAAAGTGGTCAACTTGCAAAGAAACTACAAGTACTATGGTTGGAAAAATCACTCAGGTTTTGGCACATACAAATAAAAATGCATGGATATTGTTTATTGCCATCACCAATAAGTATAAATAATAAGTATAAATGTTGACATGTGCATCACCTTCTCTTGGATTTCTTTTGCAGGTGATGATCATCATAAACAGGTGGAGGGTTCTTATCTCAAAAAGCAACAAGAGAATAAAAGGAAAATGAAAAAATATGAGGTTAGCATATTTACTCGTGCAAATATTTTTGTGGGTGGAAAAGCAGGTACAGATGTTAAGGAGACATGCTGTTTGATCGGTTCTACCTCTAGACTGCCGGAACATGGAATCACTTGTTCAGATTAAGTGCAGAAATGTTAAAACTTTTTTGATATGCATTTATGTATTCTTTAGATGCGTATCAGAATCTATGCTTTGGTTGTGCATGATGCATTGCCATTGTTTCTGCAGGACATGTTAAAATCTAGATCTGCACTCCCTATTGCTGAGCTGAAAGGCGACATATTGCATTTATTAAAAGAGAATGATGTGCTTGTTATCTGTGGAGAAACAGGTTGTGGAAAAACTACTCAGGTAAAAATTAATGCTTACATCTTAGATTGTTGAAGCTATTTTCTGTGCTCCCATGTTTAGCTTTGCTCTGATTTTAAGGCTTTCCACTATTTACTTTTGTACTTAATTTGTCCACGTCTATGCAAGATAAACATCAACTAGTGTTTCATTTAGGTGCCTCAATTTATCTTGGATGACATGATTGAAGAGGAGCATGGTGGGCTTTGTAACATTGTGTGCACACAACCAAGGAGGATAGCGGTTAGTCAAAATTTGTGATATTATAAACGTATATAGAATATAGTATTGGCAAAAGAATTGAAAATTTATCAGGGGTTGGCATGCAGCTATATGCAGCCAAAATAGTTTTCTAGCTCCAAATTCGAAACATTGAACTTTAAAATCATTTGGGCATGTGAGGCGCCTTACTAGCTATAGTGGTTTTATCACAAATATTGTTTGTTAGACATAACTCTATGCAGATTAGACTACTTGGAGCTGTCTTCAGAACCTTCCTCTATGATTATGCATGACTATTATATGCGGAAAAGAGGTTTAACATCGTCATTAGACTTGTTCAATTTGTAGTAAACTGTAACATGTTTGTTTTATAGGCCATTTCTGTTGCTGAAAGAGTTGCTGATGAGCGTTGTGAATCTTCACCAGGTTCTAAAGATTCTTTGGTTGGGTATCAAGTACGTCTTGATAGTGCAAGGTGACTAAGATATACTACTTCTATGATTCCTTCTATGCCCCCACAAGTTTCAATTTTGTGATAAGTTGTAGACATTATAAATTATCTGGCAACAGCATTCCAAATATTTCAGTGTATTATGATACTGACAGACTAAATATGGTCTCACTATTAAAGCCCAAAAGCTACAATGCAGGAGCTGCTAACTGAATTGTTCCATAAATGTTGAAAGCACGCTTTTAAGATCTCAACCTGTTATCATATATTGAATGTTCTTGTTAGTGTGGTCCAAGGAAGCTGCTTAAAGTTGCTAATGGGACTAGGGTTATCTTATAGACCAGGCAAGGTAGGTTTGTCCTTGTGTGAGACAATTTGCTTGGGGCTTTTTATCATATGCATTTTGTATTCATCATGCATCAAGGCCATGGGTTTCTGATGATCATGATGTTTCCTTATATCATAGCTGGTGTGTGAAGTGTTTTGATTAACTGAGAAATATGTGCTCCAAAAATTTCTCATAACTGAAGTTAACATTTATCGTCTCGAACACGTGACAAGTTTTTCACCTTTTTTTGTTCTCAATAACTGAAGTTTGTAGTGAGAAGTAAAGGTAAATTCATGGTTTTGGGCCTTTTAACACTTGTGTCAAAATATCTGAATAATGCTTCCTGCAGTTAGTTTCAAGTGGATAATAAATATGTTAAATCACCCCTTGTCATACTGACGTGTTGCACAACCTTTTCTGTTTCCAGAAATGAGAGAACAAAGCTTCTGTTCTGTACAACTGGCATTCTGTTGAGGATGATTGTGGTACGCTTATTCTCTATATTATCTGTTGAAGTTACCGAGATAGAAATTTGGAAATACTTGGTGTGGTCATCGAGGAATGTGATTCTTTTCATGCATTTTGTATGAATTTTCCAACTCATGCTCATGCTACCTGTTCTTCTGAAGTTTTTTGTTTCTCCTGGAGAGCCTATTTTCTTGCCATAACCTTCCTGTTATTCTTTAACTGCTACATAATTGTTGAACCCTCCTAGGCTGGGAACATGAAAAATTAAAGAATTGCCTGCTATATATTTCAAATGAAGCTGTAAAATTTATGATTGCATAGTTTCAGAATATGTTGTTTGAACCAGCAGTTTTGCCCTCTTATTAATTTTCCATGCCAAGGTGGCAGGCAGAAAGGTTGTTAACATATTAGCTACCTGCCAAGGACAAAAGAGTGTGTCGGCCCTCATGCCCAAGTTACTATATGAAAATCTACACAAATCAACACCACCTCTTACCAAAGAATATGGAAATTTGCTTTTCTTAACACTTTTAAGTATACTTTGTTTCTTTTTGATCCTTTGATCTGTTTTTGTAACTTCCAGTCCTTTCACCGAGAAAGGAAGCAAGTGTTATTGGTGAAGATTGAAAATTGTTTTCCAGATAAACATTGTTGAGATGTGTTGGCTAAAAGTAGATAATTGCGGTTTTCTTTCTAGTTAACTTTTACATAATTCTGTTGTAGTAATATATATTCATGTACGTTTCTTCTCAATTTATAGAACATATAATTAAATTGCCTATTTGTACATGGTAAAGGGCATGGCCTCCTAAACTGTAGGCATTGGATTGGATGCTACAAGTTTGGAATGGTTTCTGTATTGTAAGAAGGCAACTTTCTCATTTTTATTCAGTTAGCTATATGTACAAGCCCTATGTTTTTATAATATTCTAAATCGACTACTTATTCCCAAGGGACCAAAGTAACAATATAGCAAGAATAAAAGAAAACTAATAAAAGAAAAGAATATTAAAATACTAATTGAATTTTTTCTATACTCCCCCCTCAAGCTTGTTTATGCTGTACAACCCCTTGCTTGGAATTAAATCCGCCAAAGTTGGTTCTCAGAAGAGCCTTATTTAGAATATGCGCGTTTTGCATCCAAGTAGGAATGTAGCTCAATTGTATGATTCCGTTGTTCACTTCTTAAGAAATGAAAATGCGTGTCAATCTCCACATGATTTTAGTCATGATGAAAAGTGATCTTGGCAATAATGCTTGGTTGTTACTATACATCTTTATGGATTCATAAGCTTCAACTGTCGGTTCCTCTATCAGTCTTTTGATCCATATCCAATCAACAACAGGGAGAGATGCCCTCGATCGATTCAATCAACAAAGCAAGTGTTGTGAGCCCACCAGCGAGTGAGGGCTAAACGGTATTTATAGATTGAAACTAGAAAACCACCAATCAGTGACTTTTTCATTTCCTTATATGAAGCGTACAAGCACGTACTTTGTCACCCCCACAAAGTGCTCAATTTCACTGGGTCCATATCGGAGACAGCAGGGCAGTCACACCGCAGAAAGATTCTAAATATGAGAAATCCCCCTTTTTTCGATAAGAAGGAACCTTCACATACCCACAAGGAAAGAGCATGATATTTTGCATCTTTTAGCTTCTAGAGACTATTGCTTGTTTTTTGCTTCGCCAAGCAACCAAGTTTCCCCTTACACGTGAAGAGTAGCTACTAGTTGATCTTTGATCTGTGAACTCTGAACATTGCTTCGCCAAGCAACCAAGTTCCCTTACACGTGAAGAGTAGCTACTAGTTGATCTTTGATCTGTGAACTTTGAACACCAACTAGATCTTGGTAGTTCTTGATCTTGGGCTTGAGGTGGACTAGACAGATGGATAGGCATTGAAGGTTCAAGATTTTTAGATGATTACAATGAAGGTCCTGGATTGTCAGATGATAATAATTAATATTCTCATGGTCACAAGTTCAAGTCCTAGGAGGTGTGAGACTAGTTTGAGAAGACTGTAGTAATACCCAAAATCAATTTCTCCCCTTGAATGTTAGTTTTTGGCAAGAAGGTTGGTGTTCAAAGAATGTGACATCATTTGGGTGATAGAATTTTCTTGTGGTTGGGGAGTAACACTTGTACCCTTTTTTGTGGCTGAATATCGACGGATAGGACATTTGGAAGATTTGGGATTGAGTCCACTGTGGTGTTGGCTATGTATATAGATGAATGCTATGCAACCAAAGATTTTCAGAGGTAGATTTGAGAAGGCCTCGACATGAGGAGATGCATGGAGAAGGGACTACCTAGGTGTTTGAAACTGCAAGACTCTACTAGGCATACAATTGATGAGATGCATAGATGTAAGTAATACTCCCCCCAAAACTATTTAGGCACATGTGTTGAAAACAAAATGGATCTAGAAACCTCAAGTAGATGTCTCCTTTTATTTTGGCCTCCTCGTTTTGCGACGGGTACTGTGAATTGAATGAATGATTTCTTGATGAGAGAGAACCCATAATGGAGCTAAAATATTCTATTCAACTGTCTGTTTTGACGATGGTGAAAACCGGGGAATTGACCTTGATGAGACGGGATGTGAGTATCGATTGATGATGAAAACCATATTGAGGAAGACGTTGACCGGAATCGACAAAGAAGGGGATCTACAACCAACGGGAATGAAGACGATGTTTGTTGATGAGGATAAAGCCGATGGGAATCTGGCAAATGTTCTAACATTCAAGACAACGATGAATGGGACTATTTCATCAGCGACGATGAAGATGATAGAGATGCCTAGAGCTCTGATACCATGTGAGAAGACAACTTTCCCATTTTTATTCAATTAGTTATATGTACAAGCCCTATATATATATATATATTTTATATTTTATGTCCACTAGTAATCCCCTACTATTATGCGAACAGAGTAACAATAAATCAAGAATAAAATTAAACAAATAATAGAAAAATAAAAAAAAAAAACGAAATGAATTCTTTCTACATGTGTCTTAACATCCTTTGCTTAATATAGGTGGTGGTGCAGACGATTTGTTTGTGGTGAAAGAGGCAGACAATTGAGGGGAGGGGGGACATTCACTCTCAGTCTCGTATTTATGTGTTTTCTTCCCCAAAATTGCCTTAGCTTTAGTTTGTTTGAAGAAGTATGACCAACTGAACATGACGAAATGAAGTTGCATATTGGTAGTGTAGCAAACAAGATGAAAAAAGGCAGCTAGTATTTTTTGTAATTCCTGGGGTCCTGACAAGGGACCTAATTAAGTATGGTCATTTGACAATAAGACATAATCTAAGGTGTTTGTCAAAAGTTCACCTTTCTGTAATTTGAAATGTGAGACTCATACCAGTGGCAAAGCACATGTATGTGGTTTCTTCATGATTCGTTCTCCTCTAGACATCAAATACACTTATAGGTTACTTAACAATGTATCCCATTGTTCAATGTAGATGATTGAGGTTTGATGTTAGATCTTGGGTTTTCAAGCATGGTAGGAATTAGTAGTGTAGATGATTCCATAGGACATGTCTCAAGTCTATAAATATTGTGTGTTTTGAGCAGCAAGCATGTGTAGATGGATGATGATGGCCTTGTAGTATTTTACATCCCTTCCATTTTAATTGCAATAAATCTGAATCCCTACTTTCTGTAGTTATCTTTATGAAAGACAAGATACATTCGATGCTTTTGATTTAATTATTTATTATCAATTCTTATTTTATAGGGGATTTTAATTAATGTAGGATCACAATTATTTGTTACTATGTTAATTTGATTTGTTGGTATTATGTGGGGATTTGTATGATTAATTGAAAATAAAAGGAGTATCAAGAATATGTATCCTAGCAGGCTGTTTGCATTCTTATCTTTTCATACATGTATTCTATTTCAAACTGCAGGGAAACAAAAGCTTTGCTGATATAACTCATGTTATTGTTGATGAAGTGCATGAACGTTCTCTCTTGGTGAGTTAGTGAGATTAAACTTGGTATCTCATCTGAATTGTTCGTTGCTACATCAATTTTCATTTAGATGTATGCCAAGTTAGTGATGGTACTATTACTTTTTCTTTGTTTATGTCATCTTAAGTTTGATGGTCAAAATTACGATTTGCCTCGAATTCATCATTTCAATTCAATTCTGGAAGGGCTATTTCTCGCTTTTCCTATCTAAGTTTATTTGTCCTCATTGTAAACAAATGGACCGCATGGGCACTGCGCTGAAATAAATCTGTTATTTTCTTGAAGTTCTGTTTACTTTTTAAGTAGTGGGTTTATTACCAAACTAACCAATCATGAAATCCTGTGTAGTTATTCAATCTGATAATTAAATATCGACAGGCCTGAGTACTTGGACTTGGTAATACCGGAGAAAGGCCGAATGGTTTATAAATTTATATTATACGGCACCAATAGCATGTAGCCAAGTGACAATGCCTTCCCAGGTAAAAGGATCATGCATATTTGATCCTAAGAATACCTTGAACATTTCCGAACAGATAGATGGAAGTGAAACACCTTTGTCTTACTATAAATTCTGATACTTTCTCCAACTGGCCTTGTTCTGTCAGTCCGTCCTGCTGTTATTGAATGACTGTTATGTTCCTCTTTTTCAATACCATCCTTAAGCGGCAAAAAGGCATTTCACAGGCAGTCCTCGTTAGGACATGCTTTTAGATAAATCACCCTCAACCCTTTTGCTTAGATTCCTATGATTGCATATAAGTATAACTCTTTCTGTATGCCCTTTTACTTGTTGAGTATGCTATTCCCATATCCCCCTAACTTAACATTCACACATGTCACACTCGTGGGGGAGCTCATTTTCATGAGAAATGGCTGGATGAGCATGCATTTTTTTCTTGCATTATTGAAATACTGAAGGGAAAGGCTATTTCTTTGAGCATATCTTTTGAACATCTATTCTTGCTGTTTTCCTGAACTTTTGTCATGATTATTCATATTCATTGTAATGTGCTTATATCTATAACTGGGGCCTGCATATCATTCTATTGGCATGCTCTCATTAGTTTGATTACACAATTTCTACTGCTTAGGATGAAAAACAGACAAGACGTAGTTAGTTTCCCAAAAACAGTACATCAGGGATCAAGCTGACAAATGCTTGATGCTAGGAGATTAAAGTGATGCTAATTGTCATGTTATTAACTTATATCATTATGTTTTAGTGTAATTACTTTTTCAGTTTTCTGGTAACACCATATAATATGGTTGAAAGCTGATGTGTCTGGTTATTGATCTAATTTTCTTATGCCTGTTTTCTACAACTTTCCCTTTGTACCAGGGTGATTTTCTACTAATTATTTTGAAGAATTATATCGAGAAGCAAGCTGCCCAAAGCACACAAAAGCTGAAAGTTATCCTTATGTATGTTTTAGATCAACAATAATATTTTTCCCATTGCTGATGAGATGTTTTGCATGCATGCTGGAACTTGCAAAGTGTCATAAATCTTTGGTGTTAATGATTTGATTTGTTTTTAGGTCTGCAACAGTTGATTCACAACTATTCTCACATTACTTTGGTGACTGCCCCGTTATTCATGCACAAGGACGAACACATCCTGTGGTGTCTCACTTTCTTGAGGATATTCATGAAAATATTGATTACCGGCTTGCTTCAGATTCCCCAGCTTCTTTGAGATCTGATACACCAAAACAAAAGGTATCATTATACAGAAATGAAATGTGACAGTGGTGGTTATAACATGAATCTTCTTTCTCTTTATACACACATACATCTACCCGTTCCCCCCCCCCCCCCCCCCCAGGAGCGGACCTACTCATAGAGTAGGGGTGCACGGGCACCCTCAATCAGCCCATCTTGATGGAATCTTTTTACCGTTTGTAACTATGCACCC